CCAGCTCCAGGTTGAGCTGTTGTTCAGCATCTCAGCTGTGGAGGGCAGTGTCACTGGCCCTCATATGTGGGATCCGAACCGGGGTCCTCTGGCGTCCCAAGCCAGCTCTTAACCATCGTGCCACTCGGCCGGCCCTAGAGACATTTTTGATTGACACAGCTGGGGACAGGATGATACTGACATCTAGTAGATAGTGGCCAGGAATGCTGCTTTTATCCTACAATGCACAGGACAGCCTCCTCACAACAAAGCATTATCTGGGCCAAAATGGCAGTAGTGCTGAAGTTGAGAAAGAAGCCCTGAGCTAATGAGACAAGCCATGCATATTAAGAACTTGACAAGAACAAAAGGAGTGTCTGTAATCAAGGACTAGAAAGCAGTTGTTTCCAGATGCTGGCCTATTGATCAATGCCTATCTTTTGCAAAAATTTTAATCAGTCTTTTGGTAAAATGTAATGAGTTTTTCCTAAAGTCAGACTTGACTCAGTTTGAACAATTATCCATAATTCTGAGACCCTTTCGTACTTTGTTGAACTTTTAAAAAAATTAATGAAATTATGGCAATAAGAGATGGTAGGTTGTTACTTTTGGTGTCTTTGAGAAATTAAGTTAGTGATCATATAGCTATTTGTAATTGTTTTTATTGTTGTTGTTGTTTTGGGTTGGTTTGTTTTAAGAAATTTTGTCAGTCTTTTAAATCTAGAAGAATGGGAGCTACTACAGTGAGCCCTGGGCTAGACAGGAATTCTGTTCCTTGTGGATACTTGTGAAGCAGCAGGGATGATGTAGTAATGACTCATGCTGTGCACCTGCTCGCTGGCCATGGTTTTAGAGAAAACTATCTGAATGAGCTCTCAAAATCTCAGTTTACATAGAACTTTGTGGGGACTATTTTAACTTTTAATGCTTTTATAAATAATGGCTTTTCTATTCTTAGGTCCTCAAAGGCTTCCCTTCCCTAGTGGTTACAAAAGGCAACGAGAATATGAAGAGGAGGAGGATGAAGAATATGACTCTGAAATGGAAGATTTTATCGAAGATGAAGGAGAACCTCAGGAAGAAATATCCAAGCACATTCGAGAAATCTTTGGCTATGACCGAAAAAAGTAAGGCTAAAGAAGATTTAGATATATTTTTTATTTTGAATAATTTATGGTAAGGGGAAAAACAAGCACTAATAGTTTTTGGAGTTTTTTTTAATAATTTTTTTTATATATAGTAATTTTTTTTTTTAAGATTAAGATAAATTTTATTAGCAACAGTAGAAAATGTGTAACATCCACTGTGCCATCTTGACTGGAAAATCCCCTGAATACAATTCTTGATTTAGGAACGCTTGCATGATTTTTCAGATTTACTTCTTTGGCACTTAATATTTAAGAATTAATTCAGAATTATTTGTGTAGTTCCTTGCATGAGGGCCAAAAAAAATCCTGTTTTAAATTTGTCATATTTATAAGATGTATATTTAATTAGAATGAAGCAGCTTGGTGTAGTAGAAATAGATTGGCTTTGAAATCAGAAAGCCATCCACAGAGCTATGTTGAAAGCTGGTCTGATCTGATACCTGCTTTTCTTTCTTTGGTGTAAAAAGCTTTGCTACTCAAAAGCGTGGTCCCTAGACAGCAGTATGGGACTAACTGGGTGCATTGGCATCACCGGGGAGCTTGTTAGAAATGTGGGCTCTCAGGCTGCACTTCAGATCTGCTGAATCCAAATCGGCCTTATAAGGTTCCCAGGTAATTTATGTGCACATTGATGTAGAAGCACTGGTCTGGAGGAAAGATCAGGGTTTGAATGGAAGTTCCACTACATACTAACTGGATACACTTGAGTAAATTATTTTTTAAATGACATATGGAATGATTAAATGAGGCAGTATATATGTAGAACAGAAGGGCTTTATCACAGTGCCTATCAGTCAACAATTGCTACCTCCTTCGAAGCCATGGATGTCAGAAAAAGTCTTTTTTTTTTAGTGGATCTTAGTAGATCTTCTACTTAGTAGAAGAAAGAACTGGATTAAAAATCAGATCTAAAAATCTAATCTATGTAGTGTCATTAGCTAGCTATACGTTCTTGGTGAAGCCATTAACCTATCTGCTCAGGCTCCTCTGTTCTCAAGTCCTTCCCTACCTCATGATGGTCATGAAGTTCAAATTAAATTTATACAAAATAATTTTCACATATATTGTGCTTTCAGGATTTTAATATAAACATGTAAAGAGAGGTGAGTGGTTTAGTAAGCGTTGTTGGATTGGCACCGTCAACAGCATTAGATTCTGGAATGGTTGCCTTCTGGGAGTAATAAGGGCTCACCGAATTTGTTTTTCAGAAATCCACTTCCACCCATCCTCTGCCCCGCTAACTACTTGCCAAGCAAGGAGGAATAATCCTAAATGTGTACGTGATTTAGTTATAAAGATGTTGATTGTAAAAATGAAAATGTAGGGCAGCCGGGTGGCTCAGCTGGTGAGAGTGCGTGCTTTTAACAACAAGGCTGCCGCTTCAGTTCCCACATGGGATGGCGGGCTGCTCCCCCTGCAGCGGCAACTGGACTTGGAGCTGATGGGTCCTGGAAACACACACTGTTCCCCAATAAAAATTAAAAAAAAAAAAATAAAATAAAACAGGAAAATGTAGTTCCTTTAGAAAATTGAGTTTTTGTTCCTTTTTTTTTTAACTTTGATTTTCTCTTTTCAGATACACAGATGAAAGTGATTATGCCTTACGTTACATGGAGAGTAGTTGGAAAGAGCAGCAGAAGGAAGAAGCAAAGAGGTATGCACAAAACCTAACACATTTGTGTAGACATGTCCTAAAAATTCTTTTCTGTGTGCTGCTTCAGTTGCACCATTGGGCTACACAGTTCTGAATTCCAGTTCTGCTTACTTGCCGTGGGGCTTTAGACAGATTTCCTTAGCCTTTCTAAATCTTGTTTTCTCATTTGTAATGTGAGAATATACTGTTTTTACTAATTGAGAGGTATTGTGAGGATTAAGATACAATGTGGACAAGTTGCCTAGTGCAAGCCTCACCCATGTCAGCACACAGTGAATGAATGCTGGAGACCTCCTCTGACGCCGTTGTAGCATGTTCTTGTTTTTCTTTCTCCATCCTAATTCCCTTTCCCCATCAGATACAGCTCAGCCTTGCTAACCTATGCCACTGCTGGCCGCAGGGACCTGATGAGAGAGATTAAATTCCCTCTGCCTGATTCCTGTTTGGCTACCTGATAGCAAACTAATGATGATTTCTTGGGTAGGGATAACAAATGATTATTTTGTTTATAGCATTAACTTGGTGACATAATTCACCTCATTCTCAACCCAGAATATTAAACAATTTTCTCCTTCTTGCCCTCCCTATAACTAGATAAAATACCAAACTAAAGTGTTGGGAAGGGACATGCATAGGATGTTATTTTATTTTTGAATAAATGTTATTTTTAAAAGCTTTTGATGGAAATGTTAAGGTATTGTATTGTTTGTATATGAGATCTTTTTTCCACTGTAATTTGAGTCAGTGATAGAAAAGTATTTCTGCTAATCTGTTTTCAGTGGTAAAGCCTTGAGGCGTTTTGAGTGTGGCAACACATTCTATCTGAGATCTGAGTTGGAATTCCATTCTTGCTTTTTAAAGAAAGTGGTAATTTCTTATATATTAATGCATACTTTTTTTTTTTTTTTTGACAGTTTAAGACTCGGTATGCAAGAGGACTTAGAGGAATTGAGACGTGAAGAAGACGAAATGAAACGCCGAAAGACCAAGAAACTGAAGAGGCATTAGCTGCTGCTTTTATTTATTTTTGTGAAGTTCTGGAGACACCCTGCTGCAAGGAAGTCCTGCCTTCGGGCGGAAGAAGCCCCCTTATCATTTTAGATTTATATTTGGGTCCTCAAGGAGAAGGAATGCATACTGTATATTTTGAGCATCAAGTGGTTTCAAATACTTTCCAGGGTGAAATCTGTAATGCAGATAATGTAATGCCCAGTGAGTGCACTTCTGACCTTAACTGGTCAAGCTGCCACTCTTGGCCCTGATGAGCTATGCTCACTCTCTAATGTGGGACTGCTCACCAGCAGCTGGTCTTCTCTTGTCCCTTTGCTATTTTACAAAGGAAAAAAAAAGATTGCCTCTTGACTTTCACAGTTCTGCTGATGCCTGAATAGGGAAATGGCCAGCTCCCAGTCAAACTTAAAAGTTCTGTCTTTTTAGGAGAAATCTGGCCCTTCCATGAATGTTGTCAGCAATAAAGTGACCTGTTCTAATCTATATGTTTGGATTGGGAACTTTGAAAATGTAGAGTAGGCTTTATAATTATAATATGGATGTCATCTCTGTGACTTTGAAGTAAAAAGTAGAATAAATTATATGGTATTCTGCATTATTCATGGATTGGATGCTGAGCATTCTTATTCACTAATTTAGGTGATTAGGCAGTTAACAAAAAATTTTCCAAGTCAATATACAAGTTATGCCATTTAGTGTAAGAATATTCTTTTCCAAGTTTTCAGATTTATGGTAAAATAGACGTTACTGTGCTGATTTTTACCTAAAAATTCATTTTTATATTGAAGAAAAATACTTATTTTATTCAAACATTAGAGTTGGAAGAGTAATAGTTTAAAAAATAAGCAAGTGACATGTGAGGTTCCCCTCCTCCCCACTCCCCTCTCCCATTATAGAGATATTTTGGAATCCAAGGTGCCCTTGTACTTCTTGATGTTAATGACTTTGCATTTTTATCTTAAAATTCCTTAGCAATTAATGGCAGAAACCAAAAACTAAATTCATGTGTATCAAGAGCACCACCTTCTCTTTTTGCCCACATTGCACTTTTATTTCAAACTATGCACTATGATGAGTTTTTTTCCCAGGTAGAAAAGGATGTTCCATGTAACTGGGGTTTTACTGGTCCGTGGAACTTTCTTCATTCTTACCTTTCTTGGAGTCATGCCTATAGACTTGCTATCTCCTAAGCCTCAAGTCCAAACAGTTCCAATCAGGCTGACCTAAGTTCTGGCTGGAGAAAAGCCAAGTTTCAAGGAAAGTCAGCAACAGAAAAATGATACGATGCTAGAGAGCATTTGCCATCGATTCTAAATGTGGAGGGTTGGGGACAGTGGACATGAGCTTGTAGAACAGTCTACAGTAAACACTGGCTGCCTTCAGCCATGGATGATGGGTATTAGGAAGTAGGAGAGGTGGTCTTACAAAGAATCCTTACTCTTAAAAGGTCCAAAATTTTTGTGTATTTTTTATTTATAAAGCTTTATTCAAGTTTCGGTAGCATAGATTACCTTTATTAGCCTCCCTTAATGGGATGACCATATGACCCAGTCCCTTAAAACTCTGACTCATTTTGAATTGAATTTCAAAGTTGGAAAGTGCAAGGATTTAATTTTGAAGTTGTAGCCTATGGTGTCTTTGTTACTAGGAATAATGCCCTTTCTAATGCAGCACATAGAACTGTTACGCTGGTGGCAGAAAATCCTATTAACTGTCTCACCCATCTCAAATACCTTCAGTGAAATTGGCTTAAGGGTAGTGTGATGTTCTATGGAATAAAATAGGTTTGGAACATTTCCTTTGCTGTCACTTATGTGCTTTATCCTCCCCTTCAAAAGTTTTTCTTCTTGGATATAGTGTTTTCAATATTCACACTCGTTGAAATCTGTAATTACAATCAAGTGCTCATCACAGCTGAAAAGATTTTTCGTGGCTTAAAGTTTACTAGCACTTTACTCAATGATATTGTGCAGTTATTTGTACAGAAAGGCACCACTGTGTGAAAGAAAAGTTATAGAACTCAGAAGTCAGATTGTGTCCTTCTGTGTCTATCACTTCTGTTTCTTCTATAATATAGATGCTGATTTTAGTATTCAGCATCAACATTATAAAAGGGCACTCATTCTTTTTTTCAAAAAAAGGTTCTAAGTCTTTTAATCTTGGCCTTGTTTCCAAATCCTGTCTTCCATTTTGTTCCGCAGTCCCTGACCACTTACAAAAAGCTCACAAACCTTTGAAGAAACTGGAATAGGCTGTTGTTTTATCAAGGTTTACAAATTAAGTGCTTGATTTTTAATGTGTCCTCTATTGTTTGGATTTTCAGATTTTATTAATTCAATATTTGAAGACGTGCCTTTTATTAGGTAATGTTAATTCACGAATGTAGTAATGTTATTTCACGATTGTAATGTTACATGATCATGGATGTGGCATTCTCAACAGAAGATGTGAAAGGAAAGTAGTTTTCATAAAACTCATATGGCTCTGATTGCACAGTCCCACTTGCTTTTGATGTTATATCAAAGCAAGGGGCACTTGGTTTTAAGGCCACTTTCAGAACTTGTCTTTGTATTTTCTCTAAACTATAAATGCAGTTCTGTCCCTTTGGAGGCCAGGGTATCACATGTCACAGACAGCCTTACATGTGTGCCATGAGAAGGTTCAAAGACTGTTCAAAAAGAAAGTCTGTGGGAACTTGAAATTTCATTTTTTAAAATGTAATCCCCAAGATTTTCTCCAAGAAATAAATTACTGTTTTGTATTTTATAACTTAAAAGCAGCTATTAGTACATTTCTGAGATATAGCAGGAGACCAAAACATGTTTGGAAAGAGAATAAATATACGAAGAAAGACTGGTTGGTTTATTTTCAATGTGCTAAATATATTAATATTAGACTATTTATTTTGTGAGTGGACGTGATGAAATAAATATTCAGGTGTTTAGTGTATGATTAAGAGTGGGATATAGGTTTCTTTGGAGTTATTAAATCCATCATGTCTTTTACTTAATGGACAAATCAAGTTAAAAAAATATTTACATACATTAGATTGTTAATCTGGTGCTGTTGACTTGCAAAAGAAACTACTTTTGCATATACAGGTGAAAGTTTTGCAATTTATGTATAAAAAATTGTAGGCATTAAAAATATTTTATTGATATTTTCACTGGTTTGCATTTATTTACCAAAACTCCTATTCCTTATTTCACCGCCCTGAACATTTTTCCAACTAGAAACTCCAGTAAACTCATCCGACTTCCAAGATGGGGTTTGACTCCTTACACACACACCTGTTTGTTCTCCCTTACGCATTCAAGGCTGCTGGGCCCCTACCACTGATACCTCATCTTCCCCCGCCCCCCATCTGCTTAGAGAAGACACCCAAGTTAGAACTATTTGGAGATATACTTGGAACTGGAGGGAAGAAGAACTGGGTATATACTTCCCTTATCAAGAAAAGCAGGTCTGATCCCCTGTAATAAAAGAGCCTGGGATGACTGAGAAGATGAGTCTTTAGGAACACAATGCCAAAAAAAGTACACACATTTTAAGAAAGAAAACTATTAAAATTGTAATAAAATATACCGATAACAGGAATTACAAGTCATATTTGACTTGCAATTGCAAGAGGTGTTCAAAGTGGTACCATCAGTGTCTACACACTTTCTGATTACCGTGAACTGCTTGAGCGACATTGACCAAAGTATCCACTTGTATACTTTTGGCACCCCTGGTTACATATATATATGTTGGGTTGGCAAAGTCATGACGCATTTTTGCAATGAAAAACAAAAAATACGTCATGACTTTTCCAACAACCATAATCTACCTATATAGATATATGGCATTGGGCACAGCCATGCATGCAGCCAGAGAATATAGGCACTTAATGGAATGTGTTGAGTTTAGGTCCTAAGAAGTATAAAATGCTAGTAGCCTAGTGAGAAATTACTAAGAAAATTTTGCTTGTGGATTTTGAATTCACTTTTCTCTCCATAAAAATAAAAAGGGTAATCCATTCAGTGCAGAAATTAGTGAACATGCACCAGAGTCATCAACCAAACGTCTATGTAACCTAAAGATCTGCTGGTAAGGGTGCATGTCTGAACAATGGAACTACCGTATTTGCCGGCGTATAAGACGACTGGGCGTATAAGACGACCCCCTAACATTTCCACTCAAAATACAGAGTTTGTTATATACTCGCCGTATAAGACTACCCCCTCTTCTGCACACCTTCCACACACCAAATAAAAGGTAAAACAATATCAGATTTGATTTGGCCCACTGAAGTGCAAACAAGCGTATTGTATTTCGTGTCACCACATAACCGTTTTGGCGATGTTGAGCCACCATGTCTGCTACATGTTTTTCGAGTTCTGGCCAGTGTGGGGTGCCTCTTCTTAATGCACACTTACCCCTTGGCATACTCTTTAATGCTTTCTCATTTGATTTCCAGTCCCGAACCATCTTTTCTGTTACTCCATATTGTCTTGCAGCAGCACAATTATTATTTTCCTTAGCAAAGTTTATAACTTTCAGTTTAAAATTTGCATCATACTTCTTTCTTTTGGCTGGTGCCATGATAGGGATGATAGGGGTTTGATTGGTCGACATTTTCTATGCTGTACTGTGTACAATGGTGCAGTATTGTGGTTGGCTGTTGGCTGTATACAAAGCCTGATTTGATTGGTCCCTGCTCCCTGTTTGCCCGCCCTGTCACTATAGCAGTCTGGTCCACCCTTGCATCAGCATCTCCCTGGGACCTCACTAGTGCGCAAGTGCAAGCTCTTCAACATTCTAACAGGCACCATGATAGCACAAAATCGCGAATCTTCAATGCATATGTAAAGAAATATACGGTAACCCGAATTTACCACACTCGCGAAATCGCACACAGCCGAGCATACACCCAGCAGCGCTGCTGATGCCTGAACGGTATGTGGAATGAAGTGGGCGGGCATCGGGAGGCCACTATGGCACGGGGCAAGCACTATGGGCAGTCTATCTGAACTGTACCTGGCGTATAAGACGACCCCCCACTTGGAGGCATATTTTTCAGGGCCAAAAAATCGTCTTATACGCCAGCAAATACGGTAGGTCACCCATGTCAGACACCTCTGACCCCAAGCAGCCACATAATGGAAACAGTTCCATACAGTTTAGTACTGTATTTACTGTTAGATTTTTTCCCCCCACCCCACCTGCCCACCCCTTTAGGGTCAGAAAGCTCCAAACCACTGAGGGCTTATGAATAACCTAGGGCTCAGATACCCAGATTAATTGCATGGCTCTTATACTTAGGCTCCAACCTTGGTCTCATAAACAGCATCATATTAAAGACTGAGCAAGCAGTTAGCTTTTGTTTCTACACATGCTGCCTGTATTAGCGGCAGTCACTGCTAAAAGAATCATTAGGCAGTTTCTTGGTTATTCAGGTGAGGGAGACATTTGAGCCAAGGGGCAGCCAAGCTCTTGGATATCCCAGTCTCTCGTTTGGGCCTTGGCACATAAAAGCATGTCAAGGAGAAGGCCTGGATCTTGACTGCAACCCAGAGCTGTGGAGGTTTGGAAGGTACTTAAGCCTCTCAACTTCATTTTGGCCATTTTGTAAAATGAGGCTAGTACCCAGCTCAGGTTATTGTAAAATAATGTATAATTTGGTATCTAGCACCCAATATAAAAATGAGGTCCTTTCCCCAATGGTGTAAGCTTTGGGTTCTTAATAATAGCTGTGAAAAGGCCACAGAGAAATACCCCCAAAGAATGGGCTTAATGTTCCTGCAATCTCTTGCCATTTAACATTTTTTCAGCCCTGGACCCAGGAAAAACGTTACTTAGGAAATAGGTTTGAAGAGCTGTCAAGAATTTCTATCCTTAAGGATACAGAACAGAGGACAAATTGAACAGAGTATCTTAGTCTTAATACCAATCTTAGGGACTATGAAACAGGACATTCAATCACTCCCATCCACCCTGACGACCTCCCCTCCTCCATCTCCATTTCCAAGTCTTCATCTTAAAAACTGCGGTAACTTTTTACATAAAATGTGACAAAGTAACGTGCAATGACTTTATATGAAACCAACAACAGGAACTGTACAGCTAGTCAGGTGAGCTTCAGAGCTGCATTGCTTCACCAGGATCATCTTTGCTTGTTTCCAGGGGGGTCTGAAGGAAAAAAAAAAAATCATGTCTGGTGGGTCTTGTGTAGTGTCTGCTAGGTGTGAGGCTGAGGTAACTGCTCTCCTTGCCAAGAGCACGCAGAGGTAGCTGTGTCCAATTCTGTCACTTATTAATGCCTGCGATCCCAGTTGGCAGTGGAGCTTAGCAATACGGGAGCTGACAAGAGGCAGTAAAAAGACAAATACCCAAGGTCCAACAGGAGGAGAGAGATAAGAGACAATCTGCCACCGGAACCATTTTACAGGCCAGTGTTTATTTGACAAGGGAGAGTTAAGTGTGTGTTGCTGGTGTAGGGTGATTTAAGAAATGGTATTGAAGGCTAAGCATATAAAATGTCCCATGAGCATAAGACTAGATCACCCATGTCAGACAGTTTTGACCCTGGGCCTCAGAAATCTTTACCTCTACACCTTCGGTTTATTTGAAAGAAGCTGAAGAACTTAAAAAGAAAAGAGACTCCTAGGAAAAGATGTATAAAAGATCAAAGGAAAGACAGGGAACTCTCCTAACACTAAGTAGACAGTGAATAATAATAGAAGTAGGTAAGCTGCATAACTTTTTTAATAAAGAAAGGGGTATTTGTTTCTAAAGGTACTAGAGTTGGATTTTGATGCTCAGTTCATTTAGAGAACAAAGTTAAGGCACACTTACCCCTCCTGGGGGATACTTATATCCCTTCCACATTGTTCCTGCAATGAAAAGCATCCATAAGACAACAATCATTGTGGGCTTCTTACTCAGCTGGTGGTGTGTTCAGGGGGTAACTGGTGGTTCTGAAAAGTGTGTTCTAGTCCCCGAGTCCTGGTAACTGGGCTGCTTCATTCAAGACCAGATGGTGAATGGCCCAGCATGACAGCTCCTGGCTGAGGAGCTTTGTGGTCTAGTCTGAACTGAAATGGCTTGTCATGGCCATTTTGGGGGGCAGAGCTCAGATACCAATTGTGACATCAGCTCTTGTGACTTTGGGGACCAGTCAGAGTGAGTAGCTATGGGATGGTTGGCCAAGATACCAGGTGTGTTGGGGCTAAAGAACCCTTAACAGAAGGACCTTGTTTTCTGGTGACTCTATGTGGTTGGGATCTAGCTGGCATCATATCTTAATTAACTTATCACCTGTCAAATTTTGACTCTTGGCTTTATGCAATCAGATGCAAAACAACAACAACAACAAAAAAACAAAAAACAAAAAACAAAAAAACCACACTCCTATGTAAAACACAAACAACACAAAAAATAGCCTGATTAATTGGAAGGATTAACTGGCTAGGACGCTATGAGCAATTACTTTATATACTATTGTTAGGCTATTGAACGAAGAAAAAACCTTGCATTTTGCGAAAGAGCACACAGAGTTAAAGCTTCCTTGCGCAAGATAAGCCTCCTCACAACTTCCCCGAGGAGGAGGATGGTCTGTTACGCTCATTTCACAGCTGCAGGGATGGAGGCACCGAGTAGTTTCAGTGGTTTGGTCAGGATCAGGGTGAGGTTAGTCACTCAGCTAAACAAGCGCCCGGTGCCTCCAATCCACATTCCCACGCCCACAGAGGTCTGACTGTGTTGTGCCAATTCTCTCATAGAAATTCTGGGACAGATGGAGAACAAAAAGAAAAACCATCATGCCTTGCTCTTACCTGGAGCTAGGGTTTGATACCCCTCCCTGCCTTCTGGAGTAGCTTCCCAGAAAACCTGCTCCTGTAATTGGTATATAACTAAGACTCTCAGAGTTAAGTTTCTTTAACTATAGTATATCTTTAAAAAAATAACCAAAACAGGTCTAAATGAAATGGAGTGGGATGTGAGAAACCCAGGAGATGGTTTGCTAAAAGGATGCTGTGATTAATGTTTGCTGTAGGCGGCTGGTCTAGTAGAATAAGGGGCTATAAAATCCAGAGATCTATGCTTGCATCCCAGCTTCACAAACAAGTTGGTTTGTGTAGTCCTGGGGAAACAGTTGAGGTCGTTGCCCACCAGTATATCTTTGTTGACTGGTTCATTATGTTGCTTAGTTGTTAAGTTAGCATTTACTAAATGCTAATTGGCAAGCTTTGCATTAAATGCTTTATAGGAATTCCAAAATGTAGTCCTCACAAAAATTGTAAGATACTGAGATATCTCCATTACACAGATGAAGAAACTGAACTTCAGAGAGATGAATCTTTCCCAAGGTCACATAGCTAGTAAGTTGCTAAGTTAGGACTTGAACTCAAATTCACATTAACTCCAGTTTCAGGATCTTCCAAAAGGGGCATTAAAAGTGCTGGTCAAATTTATTATAGAGTCTGTGAGGAGCAAATAAGTTAATAAATTGGAACAGTCTTTGAAAAGACTATGACAGGGGCGGCCAGTTAACTCAGGTGGTTATAGTGCAGGATCATAACACCAAGGTTGCCGGTTCGATTCCCACATGGGTCAAGGAGCTGCACCTTCCACAACTAGATTGAAGACAACTACTTGAGTTGGAGCTGATGGGTTCTGGAAAAACACAGTTCCCCAATAAAATTTCTAAAAAAAATAATACCTATGAGGTGTGGTTAGTAAATCTATGAACTTTGGCCTGCTGCCCTCAGCAGTGCTCTGTGAATTTTCTTTGCCCACCATTTATGTCCAATCATTTCCCCTTCTATAGTTTATTATATTTTCCAGAGGAATATAAATTCTCTACTGAGATTTCAGGGTGCTACCCAGTTCTCTGGAGGGGGAGGAATCCGGCCCAACAGACCTGACCACAATTCACAGTTGCAGATCTTCATCCAAAGCCTGTCTCCTCCTTTGTGCCTTGCTCTCCTCAACAGGCCACCTCTCTTTCCACCTCAGAGTTGAAGGCTGAGTCAGAAAGAAATTGAAAGGCAGACATGGCTCTACTCGCTGGTCCAGTAGGTAACTGCCTCTCTATGTGACTGGAAGGGCTGCTGAAAGGTCCCGCCCAAGGCCCACCTTCCAACCACTGATTAACTTGGCCTGAAATCCAGAAGTCAGGCACTATATCCAGCCCTTATAAATTCCATGCTTTGAAATAAGTGACATTATGTACCTAAGGGTGAGGGGGACTTAAAGATGTCTCAATGGGATGGGAAGTAGTCTGGGAAACTAACTTTGTTCTCATCACATCCTGACATCCAATTCATGGTGAGACCTCAACTCTCTTTCTCATTTGGTCAGAAACCCCTGTTGGGAGGGTCAGCCAGAGCCAGGGCTGACTGACTACCAGGGATTTTATAGGCAGGGTCATTACTTACCATGAACTCCGGAAATGTGCCCATGTAACATGCAAGTCCAACAAAAAGCATCCAGCCAAGCACAATCATGACAAAATAATTTCTAAGACACAATTGCACAGTGAAAGACTCTTCACCAAGATCTTGGCAAAGGAGTATGTTCATGAAATCCTCAGTTGGTAGAAGTCTTGCATGTCAATTCCAGTCCTTGGCTCAAAGGGATCCACAACTCCCTAGTGGAGAAGTTGGGGTGTAGTAGGGCATTGTGACATCATTGGTCACATGGCCCATACTCACAACAGGTCAGATCACACCATTCTGTTCAAAACCGTCCAGTGACTTCCTCTTTCAGAGTAAAAGCCTAACAAAGAAAAAAGCAGCCCCTGACACAGGGACTAGTCTGACCTATCTAGGTCTGTGTTGTCAGCTGACCTGGCACTCACAGTGAGGCTATGTTCTTCTCCTGTTGGATATAACAGTCTCACAGAACACCAACATCAGACAGGGTCACTCAGACAATGACAAAATGAGACAAAACAAGGCCACTTCATAATTTTGTCTAAGTAGACAAACACAAGATCACTGTGCAACCCACAAAATATCAAACATCCTTTTCTGTCTGCTAATATGAATGACCGCTGCTTCTTTACCAATTACAGCTTTATCCTTGCTCGAGTTTGCCCATCTTATATTTATTGATACCCAATCATAGAATTGTCCCTGCTTTTTGATAGCATAGTACCCAATCCCAAGTGAAGCTTTGCTTCCTTAAACCCTCCCCCAAGTCACCCAAAGCCCAAATCCTGTAATTGGTTCCTTCCAACACTCTCTGAGATATCCCAAAGGTTTTGTACAGTATCTGCTCCCTCACAACAAGGAGTAATCAACTCAACTTATTTAAGTGGGGTTAAGTGTTCCTGCTGGTTTCTGGCTGGGGGTCATTGATAAGCCAGTCATAATTGTCTACAAAGCCCCACAGCGGTTCTCAGACTTATCACCCAGGTTTCTTAAAACAGATTGCTCAGCCCCACCCCCAGAGTTTGATTATGTAAGTCTGAGGTGAGGGGGCGGGGGTGGGTCTGTATTTCTAACAAGTTCCAGGTGAGGCTGTAAGTCTGGGGACCACACTGGAAGAATCACTGCCGGAAACCACTTGTGGCTCCCTCTTACTTCTCTGATTTACCCGACTTCTGCTGCCTCACTTCTTACTTCATTCTACTCCAGCCACACCGGCCTCTTTGCTGTTTTGAGCGCTTCCTATTAATAACAATCACCCTCCTGCCAGCCCAACATCTTAACAGTTCAAATATCCAGCTCCTGTGAGTTTTTAGGCCGAATGGCTCAAGCCAGGAATACAAAGCAGGTAACTCACAAGTCAAGGAGGCCAAACAAAGCCAGCATATTGCATGTCTTCACCTTCCTTCTTCCAGATGACCTTATCCAACAATCGACCTCCTCTGTTGTTTTCAAACTCTTTTTCTCACCTGGATTTTTCCTTTCTTTACAATATGTTTATGGCACCCCCCTCATTAAAAAAAAAAAGGGCACCCCTCCCCCTGACGCTGCTGCAGCACCCTCCCAAGGCTGTCCTACCTCCGCTTTCTCTGACAACACTCCTCCTGGTTCCGTTTTCCCTTTCTAGCTCCCCGAAATTTTGCTTCTGAAGTTTCATTACCTCTTCCTGCCTAAACCCAACTCCAATATTCGGTCTTGGTCTTCGTCGATACTGCTGGATTTAACACACCCTAGAAACTCGTGCGGAACGGCGCGAGCGGCTTTCCACTTCTTTTACCTGCTTCTCGGGTCCTTCCTGGTCCTCGTCACGGATGTCCCCAGGTCTCCTTCCCGCAGGCTGGGTCGTGGCTCCCCGGGCGCCGCCGCGCCCCTGGCGGCGCGCAGGCTCCACGCGGGCGCGGCGCCCCGACTGCCGGCCGGAGCGCGGAGGAGCGCGGAGCCCGGAGCGCGCAGCGCGCAGCGCGCAGCGCGGGGCCGACGGCGGGGTCTGGGGCGGGGCCTCGGGCCGCTCGGGAGGTTGGTCCTCGGCGGCCGCCGTCCCGCGACCGGTGGTGGCCAAGGAGGGCCGGGGGCCACCTGGCTGCGGACCTGGCTGGAGATGGAGTTCGACTGCGAGGGGCTGAGACGGCTGCTTGGCAAGGTGAGCGCTGCCCGCCGGGCCGGCGCGGGGCTCCGGGGTCTCGGGGGCGCGTCCGCCCCGGGCCGAGCTTTCCGCTCGCGGCGTCTCCCCGGCTCGTCCCGGGGCTTGGAGGGGGGCGGCTGGCCTGCGGTCGCTGCGGGGAAGAGCCCCGCGCGGCCCGGGGTCTCCCCGTGCCCAGGTCGGGGCCCTGGCTCCGCCCAGTGCGAGCCGCGCGCCCCCGGCCTCCCTGCCAGCGCCGCCTGTACCCTGAGCCGCGCCTTTCTCCCCGCTGAACTGGCCTGTCCCCCCCCCCTTTTTTTTTTCTTGACCTGCAATGCTCATGCTGTGTACGTCTCCACTCAGCTGTCACTGCTGCTTGCTTTCAGAAAGCCCGGTTGTCCCGTTGTGGGGAGTTACTGATTTACAAATCTTACTCCTGCTTCGGAACTCTTTGACCCCCCCAAGACAGGGCTTCACCCAGCCCTGTGCCTGACAACAACGGGGGTGCTACATGTGCAGCGAATGAAAATCCCGAGTAGATTTAAGTATGAAGACAGCGCTTGAAGGCCCAGAGGAGATTCTCTTACTGTTGAAAGGTGGAGTGGAAACGCGGAACAGAAGTCCGCGCTGCGTTGCTGGGTCATGACTGGCGCCAGTTTCCGGCTTAGTTCAGACTCGCTGATTGCCCACCAGTGTACAGTCTGAGGCAACCCCACTTTTCATCAGTTTTCTAGTTAAGTGATTATTAATGTTTCTTAAGACTTCCCCACATGGAAACCATACATTTATGCCTTTTGTTGTTGTTGTTGGATTTGCCTGTGTCTTTCTTTGTCGGGGCAGTTTGCACACCAGGGAGAGGTTTTGAAGCCTCATGATTGAAATGGTTTATATGTAATCGATTTGAATGATTTTATCCACGGTGACAGGTGTAGACCTTGTGGGAAGAGAAGTCTCATCGCGCTTAGAATTACACCCTTTCTATCTGCTGTTCAGACAGCATGAAATGAAAAGAACCACTCTTACCAAGTTTTTTATTGGGGAGAGTATGATTTATTATTATTGTCCAGTGGGAAGAATTGTTCAAATCGATAGTAGAAAAAGAACTTAATAATTTTGGTGGAACTGGAATGAAGGAAAAAGACAAGCGAGACAGTGATTTTCTCAAGGGTGGGAGTAGACTAGTAGAGGAATTTTGTTTTTTTTTTATGATTAGTGCTTAACAGAGTCTGGCACATAGGTGCTTAATATTTATTGGATTTGTAAATTAAGGAAACCAGTTAGAAACAAGTCAGTCCTGCTCATATTTTTGAAGTTCCTTAGCTCTTGGACTAGGGCTGTGAACAATACATTAAAATCAAGCAACTCTATGGAGAAAATGAAAAATGTTATTGAAAACCAAACACAATAAATATCCCAACCTAAATAAATATTCCAGCTTCATGGATATGAAGAAGTCAGCTCTCTCCAAATTAATCTGTAGCGTCATTGCTAAATTTTAACAGGTAATTTTGGGAACTTTTCAAGCTGCTTCTAAAATTCATTTGGAAGGGCAGAAGGCCAACAATCTTGACATTCTTAAAGAAGAAGAGTAGGTGTGGAGACTTGCTTTGCTAGATGTCAAGGCTAGTAATTACGATTTAGTGTGGTATTGATATAGGATAGACAAATTAACCAGTGGGACAAACTAGAGAGCTTAGAATCACATGCACACCTGTTTGGAAATGCAATGTAAAACAGAACAGGCACTGCAGATAACTATGGAAAGGAGAACAGAGGGACAGATGATTATCCATGTAGGGAAAAAAGAAAAGTGGATTCTTCTTACCAAACTTAAAAATTCCTGGGGATTAAAGATTTAAATGTAAAAGACAAACTTTAAAATGTATAGACATAAATGTAGGGGAGAATTTTTATGGACTCAGAGTATGCAAACAGTTTTTTAACAAGATGTAAAATATTAATACTTAGACTGATTCTTGACTACATTCAAATTAAGAACTTATAGATATCAAAAGACAGCATGAAGAAAGTGAAGAGTCCAAATACAATCATAGAGAAGAATTTTGTAACATAAAACTGGCAAAGTATTGATATCCAAAATATATAAATTAGCATCCTACAAATCTGTATTAAAACCAACAGAAAATTGGACAAAAGACATGAATAAGCACTTTAAAAAAGAAGAAGAAACAGGGAAATGAATGTTTGCTCAATCCATTAGTAACCATGGAAAAGCCACCATTTTCCCTCTCTCGACTGGCATAAATTAAGATAATGTCAGATGATTTGGAGGATGTGGGTGAATTGGAACTTTAAACACTGCTGATGGTTAAATGCTTATTTAACTATTGTGGGAAACAATTTGGCCTTATTTTATTAATTTGATTATGCATGTTTTATGTCCCTTCTACATCTTGGTAGATACCAGAGAAAATTCAGAATATATGAAGCAAGAGATAGTTGCAGAATTATTTATAACTAAAAATTAGAAGCAACCCAAATATGTATGCACTGGGAGAAGGAAGGATGATTTGTTATATATTCACATATGGAAAACACTACTATGCAGCAGTGAACATGAATGAGATACAATATGCAACAACATTACAAGTGAAAAAGTATCAGAGGTTATATACAAAATTATATTTTGGTAAAACCAAGAAACAAAACAGAAATTAAATAGTAAACAGTGTGTGTTGTTTAGGGATACACACATATGTGACAAAGCTTTGGAGGGCAAAAGCAAAGGAATGTGAATATGCAATTCAAGGGAGGCAGTTGAGTGGGCAATAGAAGGAGTACTCAGGTGTAAAGATGTTGGAAAGGTCTGAGTTGTGCAGTATGGTAGCCACTAGCTACATGTGGCTATTTAAATTAATCAAAATTAGATAAAATTAAAAATTGAGTTTTTGAGCCCCACCAGACACATTTCAAGTGTCAGTAGCCACATGTGGCTTGTGGCTATTATATTGGACAGCACACATACAGATCTTTCCCTTCATGGCAGAGTTTTGTTAGCACTGTTCTAGATTGTGTGTGGGTGGGCTGGTGCATGAGTGTTTATTATTATTCAAAATGTGTGTATATATGTACATATAGGTATACAGGTATATATTATTTAATTTGTATTAAATATTAAGTTTAGAAAAATTCTCCAGTTCCCTAATTCCTATTTTCCACTGTCCTGGCTGAGTTATCTTGGATAGGTAACTTAACCTAGATTTTGCTCACTCAATGATAAAGTGATAAGTCTTATCTAAAATGATAAGACTGGACTTGATCTGGAAGATTCCCTCCTGCTAAAAATTTTTTTATGAAATGATGCCACACAGTATTCCTCAATATGTCCTACGTTTGAGCAGTGTCATATAAGAATATTCTTAATGTTCATAAATATCAGTCTACTAAATAAACATACTATATGGTATGTCAAAGTTAAAATTTTAGTAACATCCATTTTTCAGTCTTATTGATTTTTTTTTTAAGATTTTATTGGGGGAATCGGGGAAGGGGAACAGCTAAGTTGTTGTGGAGGGCGCAGCTAGCTCAGCTCCAAGTCCAGTCGCCATCCGGCCGCCTACGGGCAGCTTGCAGCCTATCAGCTCAAGGTGCCATGTTCAATCTTAGTTGTGGGTGTGCGTAGCCCACCATCCCATGCAGGAGTTGAAACGGAAACCTTGTCGTTAGGAGCACATGTTGTCACCAGCTGATGCCATCCTGCCACCTGTTGGCAGCTCAGCGGCAGCTCAGCTCAGGCGCAGCTCACATGTGGGAATCGAACTGGTGACCCTGTTGCTCAGAGCTTGCGCTCTTAACCAACTGAGCCACTCAGCCAGCCCCTCAATCTTCTTGATTTTTATGACAGTATAATTGCTTTTGTTTTAGAATCTCATGGGCCAGTTCTTCTCAGTGACATGCCTGCACTCTAAGCACATGGCATTGTCTGAGGCACATTTCCTTAGAGACTATTGTACAGACTCCTCTTAGGTGGTATAGGAGCAATAATGGAATATATGTCTTAATATTACACTAAGAAGGCATTCTCTTTCATATTAGAGTGAAAATGACATGAATATCTTTTTCAGGACAGATAAAATGATATCTTTTTTTTTTTAGGTGTTAAAAGGCAGATCACATTTTGACTAGTAATAGTGACTCAGAAGTGTTTTTACTCTCTTTGGATAAACTTTTATACCAGTTTTGCAATTAAATCAATTCTGTTGTATATCTCACTGTAGCCATTAATAATCACATTCTCACAGGATGTTAAGGGTGTAGAAAACAGCTTATAATATTAAGTAGAAAACAAAACAAAAATTGTTTTTGTTCATAATAAATGCATATTCCAGGTGATAGCAATGCAGCCTTTTGTACATTTGTGTATTGTTTGGAGTTGGGATGATTTCATTCACTTTTGTGTGCCCTGAATCTGGGGTACATTTCACCTGCTGTAGTTAGTACTGATCAATTCTTAGTTTTGATGCTCAGTGCTGTGGATCACAGTTGCTTTCTACATCCACTCTACTCATAAATCTGCCTCTTTGCTTACTCACATCCAATCAGCCTACATTTATTGAAGGCATACCCTGTGCTAGCTAAGTGCTGGGGGAGATACAGAGCTGAATAAGAGATGATTCCTGCCTGCGAGTTGTTAATGATCATAGGTTTTTTTCTTCTGTCTGCCACATTCTCCCCCATCTTGAAATGACCTTATAGGAAGAGAAGTATCTTCCCTCTAATTTTCTGTACCATTCTAGACTCTAAGATGAATTGTAGGCAGCTCTTCCTGGAAGCCTTTTTGTAACTTAGATATGCTTTATATTGATTCATTGTTTCCTGTCTGTACTTACTTTGTATACATATTTTGTTTAATATCTCACTTTTACATGTGTTAATCATGAGCTCTTCATACACACCTGTTGAAGTTGGTAGGTAGCATAGCTCTCTCTCTCTTCTGCAAATAAAAAATGTCAGACTCAGAGAGAGGAAACAGGGTCTATTAGCAGTCATTCCCCCCATTTTCTACCAATCTCCCCCAGCCCTAGGCACCCACTAGTCTAATTTCTGTTTTTATGGATTTGCCTATTCTGGATATTTCATAGATAAATCATACAATATGTGGCCTTTTGTATCTGGTTTCTTTCACTTAGCATAATGTTTTCAATGTTCATCCATGTTTAGTATGTATCAGCTCTTTATTTTTATGACTGAATATTACATTTTATCTGTATGTCATATTTTATTCATTCACTAATTGATAGACATTTGGATTGTTTTCACTTTTTGGCTGTATGAGTAATGCTACTGTGAACAGTTGTGCACAAGTGTTTGTGTGGACATATGTTTTCATTTTTCTTGGGTATATACCTCAGAGTGGAATTGCTGGGTTGAATGGTAACTCGGTGTTTAATCTTTTCCATACCTGCCTGACTCTCTTCCAAAGCAGCTGCACCATATATGCGGGTTCTGATTTTTCCACATCCTCTCCCACACTTGTTATTGTCTGTCATTATTATTATTATTATTATTATTATTATTATTATTATTATTATTTATTATTGCCTGTCTTTCAATTATATTATGAATCCTCCAACTTCCTTGTACTTTTTCAGGCTTGTTTTGGCTGTCCTGGGTCTCTTGAAATTCCGTATGAATTTAAGATCAGTTTGGAAATTTTTGCAAACAAACAAGAAAAGCCAGCTGGAATTTTGATAAGGATTGTTGATTATTGAATCTGTTGGGTAGTATTGCCATCTTAACAATACTAAGTCTTCTGATCTATCAATGAGGGATGTCTTTCTATTTATATCTACTTTAATTTCTTTCAACCACGTTTTATAGTTTTTAGAGCATAAGTTTTGCATCTTCTAAATTTATTCCTACTTTATTTTTTTTGATATTATTGTAAATACAATTGTTTTCTCAAATTCATTTTCAGAGTGGTAATAGACGCTTAACATACTTTTTTCTTTTACATAATCCTCAGCTCAAATCTAGGAGGCGGGTATTATTTCTCTTTGCAACTGAGGAAATAAAGTCAAAGAAATTAAATGTTTTGCTCGCAGGGCAACCAAGGTAGTATTTCTGGGGAGTACATCTGGATGAATGAGGAGACAGTTCACTCAACCTGACTGCAAACGCTTGCATGCTTTCCCATTCTCCCTTTGAAACCCAAGACCAGTACCAGGAGGGTTGGAAGGGAAATTCAAGGTGTCGCAAGTGAATGAATGAGGTATTCAAGAATAAAAGTTGAATCTTGAACAGTGGTAATACATCCTGCCCTACTTCTTAAGCCTTCAGAGGAGGTATTTGGAGACAATTTGATTTAGTGATTAAAGGCCCAGGTTCTAGGTTTGAGTACTGTGTTCTCTGTCTAACTTGCTAACTCAACAAATTATTTTGATTGTCTAGCTTTCATTTTCATTTCTGTAAAGTCGAGCAGTTATAAGCCCTGTCTACTTCATAGGGTTGTTATTAAAAGGGTTAAATCAAACATTATTCATGTTTGTAAAACTCAGAACCCAGGGCCTAGCACATAGTAAGTGTTCAGTTAATTGTAATTGTTCTGTTGTCTATAGATTTATTCTTACTCAATGCTCATTTTTCTCATTTCAGTACAAGTTCAGAGATCTAACTGTGGAAGAACTAAAGAATGTAAATATGTTTTTTCCACATTTCAGATATTCCATGGACACCTATGGTAAGAGCCATATTCTCTAGTTTTTTGCTATATTATATAAACTATTATTTGTTCCTAGATAGCTACAAAATTATAGTTTCTCATTTCTCTCTTTTATCTCCTGATTTTGCACTGCACTTTGTGACCTGTGGTTTCTGTGGAAATTTAGTTTAATACAATTTACATGGTATTAATTTTCTATTGCTGGCATAAACTTAGTGGCTTAAAACAACACAAATTTAATGTCTTACAGTTCTGTTGGCCAGAAGTCCAACACAGGTTAGAAGTCTGGGCTAAAACCAAGGTGTTGGCAGGTCTTCGTTCCTTTCTGGAGACTCTGGGAGAGAATCTATTTCCTTGTCTTTTTCAGTTTCAAGACCTCCTTCCTCCAGCTTTAAAGCTAGCAATGTGGCACTTCTCTGACCATCTTTCTGTAGTCATATCTCCTTTTGACCATAGCCAGGAGAAGGTTCTTTGCTTTGAAGGACCAGTGTGATTAGATTAGGCCCACTCCAGTAATGCTTAATTGCATAATAACTTAGTTACATCTAAAAAGTCTCTTTAAGGTAACATATTCATAGGTTCCAAGGATTAGGGTATTGGATATCTTTGGAGGTCATTATTCTGCCTACCACATATATGGTTGATTCTAAATTATTAATAACAAAGTTTTAGTTATCAGGTTCACTTGATATAGAGGGTCTGGCTACCTAAGATTTTACTTTACTATCTTTCAAAAATTTTTTACCACAACCCACACTTGGAAATGTTCTGTATCATGACCCAATATACACAGAATTAAAATACTGTGGGCACTTTGGCATGTGCCCTTCTATTCCATTATATTGTATTTAAAAACAAATACTGATTGCGACTCACTAAATTAATTTCAGGACCCACGAGTTAGTCAAAACACACAGTTTTGAAAAACTTCTTTATCTACACGTTTATGTTTTATTTTTGGATTAGTTTGGGTTAAGAAAATGTATCTAATTTGGATTTATATATTAGAAATTTTGAGGAGTTATTCGAAGTATTTCTTAGGAATAGCTAATTTGATATGTGGAAGAAATTATTAGTTCTGGCCCGTCTGTGAGTGGGCTCTTTTGCTTAGCACCTAGTTGCCTGGGAGGGGTCTGTAACAGCTAATATTTATTGAATGCCAGATATGCTTCCAAATGTTTCATCTGTGTTGTCTGACGTATTTTTTTACAAACAAAGCAGTGAGCTAAGTATTATCATCTTCACTTTTCAAATAAAGAAACCAAAGCTCAGAGAATTTAAATAAATTGCTCAAGATTACATAGCTAGTTAGGGAGGAGTTGGGGATTGTACCCATGTCCATCTTGCCTTCTGCTTAAATACTGCTTGTCCTTTTACAGTGTCTTTCTTCATCATGTCCTGTTAGAGAGCATGAGCTATGGTGCCATTAGACCTTCAGGCTACAGGATTTATAATATATTGCCAATGTATATTTTATTATTGAAGACAATGATAGTCACACATCATAATCACTTGTGTTTTGGCTTTTTGAATAATATGATTGGACAATAAATATTTACACCTATAGTTTTTCTACCACATTTTTAGATTGTCCTGTGTCCCTGAGTAACAATCCTTGTTTCACACATCATTTCATTTTAATTTTTGCCGTGGAGTGATCCCTTCACTCGTTATCTTTCACTCATATAGTTCAAGGTAAACATTTGTACTTATGTACACTCTTAGCCTTGAGTTTTCTGTCAGGCCTGGTTTCTTCTTTTACCTTCCCAGTAGGTCATCAAATCTCTTTGGAATTTTCTCTTCCTGCTTAAATAGTATAGCTACTGAGGTACTTAAAGGACTACATTCCAAGGCAGTATGGTAGTTTGAAGCCAGAGGTAGTGTTTTCTGTATTCAGTTCCGAGATTAGGGCATTAGTTCTCCACCAGTGTGTCCCAATTATTGATGGGTAAGTTGAAATTTCAGGGATGTGAAAGTTGAAAAAAGGTTGAGAATAATGGAGTTAGAGTAACCAAAGAAGATAATTATTGATCTTTCTAAAAGGTCACTTTAAAAAATACAGCTAATATTTTTTATTCTGATTATAAAAGTTACAATCTAATTTCTGAAAGTGATTATAACTGATTTGTTACATGTGACAATTATTTGCTAATGTCCCCACATTTTATAATTCTTCTTATTTAGGGGCTTTCACATTATCTCATTTGATCTTTATGACAACTTTATAATGCAGTCTTACTATATTTATTTTTATAATGGATGAAACTGAAGGTCAAAGAAATTAACCAAAAGTCACATGCCTCTAAGTGGGGAAGATTGGCCTAGAACTTGGGATTTCAATATCAAAGCCCTGTGTTCTTTCAACTATCCTCTCTGCTTTCTAAGAAAACAACATCTAGTAATTTCCCCTTGCCAACATTTTTACTGATTCCTAGCTGATGGTATGTAGACATTCTGTGTTTCTCTGTGTGTGTGTATGTGTGCGCGCATGTGTGTGGGTGTGTTAGGTGCCATTGAGTCAGCTCTGACTCCTGGCAAACCTACTTTAATACAGTTCTTCCTACTTCTGATTGCACATTTTGGGGCTTTTCTTCTCTTCCAGTTTTCAAAGACAGTTCCCAGAAGGACCTGCTGAATTTCACTGGTACCATTCCTGTGATGTATCAGGGTAAGTGTGGAAGTTGAGAAATTGTGGGAATTTTCTAAAAGAGCAGTTTAATAAGAACTTCCCTTTGTTCAGTGCCACAGCATTCTCAGTGTTTTGACATGTACCGTGTTCCCCTATTATAAGATGCACCTTTTTTCAAAAAATTTGGGGTCTAAAAACTGGGTGCGTCCTATACAGTGGTTGTAGATTTCAAATGCCATAGATGGAACTGAGGACGAGGCAATATATGAAGACAGTGGTTTGTCATCAGACACAGATGAGGACAAGCTAATGGTTGGGAGTTTTGACAGTGATGAGGAGTTGTATGAATTTTATGATGAATAAAACTTGAGTT